AAAATATCTGCGCTAGCTATTGTGTCAACGTCGGTGATGCTGCGTCCGTACGCAGTGCGTCGTCGATTTGTGCATGCGTGCCGTTCGCTGGGTTTTGGGTTGCCGCCTTAGATAGACGAATAGCAGAGACGAAAGTGCTCGCGGAGCGCACGAGCAGAAAACGATCGACAATTATACCGGACCCGCTCCGTAAGATGCACCGTTGTGTAAGGCTTTTGTCATTGTGCGACTGTTCACCCTTCTTCGTATGAGGAGTTTTTCAGTCGAATGTTTGTTGAGTTCGCTAGTATATACAAGGGGTTCCCTTTGGGATTTTCCAAAGCGCACCTCACTGCTCCCCACGGAAGCTTGTGTGACTGTGGGAATGTCTATATGGAGATTTTTTGTTCTCTACTGAAAACCTCGAAAACACACGAATGTGTGCGTAAGACAACGCAGATATTAGCACCATCGCTTTCGACCCTTATAGGTGTATATTCATCACGAAAACCGTACTTCTGAGTCCATCGATGCGGCAAGCCTATGTCGACTGGCAGGGGCATTGTGGGACTCTTCAGACGGGTGAGATAGAAAGTCAGAGTTAAGATATTGCCGAAAATTGCGATCTGCCTATTCGTGTGGAGGGCATGATGGCGAAAATTACGTAGCTGCATCACCCAGTGTGCCCAGCGGTGGCTGAACCTCTTCTATACAGGTACACTGGAAACGGCTCAGGAGAAGTCTACAAAGCACGCGTTTCCAACAAAGATGTCCTGAGTCAAAACCTAATTGGAATGGGGACCATTGTCCCTTCATAGGTTCACATGACAAGCATAGAAGGTATCGGGATGGATCTGCTCCTGGTCACCGAGACACGAATAAGGGCTACCGAGAGCCACTGGGCTTTCGTTTGTCACGCCCTGGTTAGCGAAGTGGAAGTAGAGATGTTAGTGTCGATCAAAATAGCAGCGACAGATTCTGTCCAACAAGGATCTGGTGGCCCGTTTCCGTGAGTTTGCTCGGAAAATTGATGATGCGCGGCTCACTGTGATTGAGAATTATACAGTACAGTAAGACTTGTTATACATAGCCCGTCAGCTCGCTGACTTCCGCTACAGGACAATGTGCAATGAAGTTAGCAGGAGCTGTACCATACCATCCACTGATGCTGTTACTGTCGAAAAGGTCAGAACGGTGCCTGGAAGCGATCATTGATTCTCCTTCTAAGATCATTCACACAGTCCGTGCGCGCGTGAGGGATCTCTCCGGGGATCTAGGTGAACTACTGGAATTCTTCTATCGGAACTGCGACGCGGTATTGGGCATTCTTGTCTACGGGTAAGGGCATGTGCAATCAGCCTCGGTGAAAGCAGACTATCCAACTGGCAGGCGGCAAGCCAAAGCGGTCGTATTTGAGCGTTGGGTGGTGTATCCGCATGGTAAGGAGATGCTCATACATGCCTTGTTGTTTCGCGAAGGGGAGGAGACTGTCAAGAATGTAAAGGTCGCTGATCCGGTTGACATCGTGAATAGATTTATCCCAGGGTATGCGATGGTCGCTTCTCGATGTGACTGAGAAGTTCCCTGAGCTGCTCATAGGCTATCGCGCGGTACTCGTGCTTCACGGTGCTAAATCCTTTCCCAGAGAGATGGTACTGAATACTGTTAAGACTGTGAAGAAATTGGACCTCGCGGCAACGACCAATAACGGTACCAAACGCAGAAACGCTGCGTGCTGTACCACTGACATAGGTGATTCTAGTTTGCCGGCCACAGCTCGAGATATCTTCCCGATGATTCCCAGTGACTTACCGATGGAGCCGAAGGAGCCACAGATGGAAGAATCGGTGCCATCGAGTGAATCGGACGAGCCCTTAGTGGGAGATGGTGGTATTTCTAGTGGCCTGAACCAGCATATTGAGTCACAAGAAGGTGGGTTAGGATGCTATCTGATTGTCATGTTCGCTATCTTTGACGACTATCGCAGTGTGGTGTGTTTTGCAGCGTTGGAAGATGAGGGCTCACCAGAAGCCCCTTTTGAGTTCCCAACTCGCGAGATAGAAGCGCTTCTTCCTCACAAGCCAACGAAGGCCATGGACAGGTCACTTTTGTACGCTGCTGACGAGCAGACTGGATGTTGATCTTTGCCGTCTTCAGCACGTCGGTGATACCTGTAGCACCGCGAACAACGCCTGATGCTAGGTCGGTAAGGTCTGCAGTTAGTGGCAGTATTCGTCGTGGCAAGTATAAGAGGCCAGATAGAGCATGATCATAGTAACCTAGTGTCACGCCGAAATGAGAGATCTTGCGTTCTCTGAAGTGCTGATTGGCCTTTGTATTAGCAGCCATGATAAACACAACAATATAGTTTTTCCAGTAGGTAAATAGAGCAGTATATAGCAAGACTAAGTAGCTCTAGCGAAAGGTCAGGCTCAATGATTGTGTGCAGGTGTCTCCGGAAAAGTCTACAGTGCTGCACATACGATAGCTGCTGTTCTATGCGCGTCTCATAGCCTGCGTTAGTGGAGTTGCAACCCCGTTGTGTAGAGCGCATAACGCATAACAATACGCGTTATGGCGCTATATATAACGCACATATTGTGTTAAACGCTTCATGAGTTTCTGTATTTAGTTGTAAACGTTTTACATGATGTAGCAGCATACATGTTTGTAGCACCTACATGGTAATACCAGGCGTATCATGAAAATCATGGGTGTCACAGGTATACCCGTTCCACGCGTGATTCTCAGTCGCCGAGTCTAGCTTCTTAACTCACCACCAACGGTCCACAGAAGCAAGCCATAGATAGTGAGATCCCAGCTCCAATTCCCGTTCGTTGTATGAATAAGTTATTTGAGCTCACAGGGATAGCTCGGTATGGCGATTATCATAATACACTCCTTGCTTGGTGTGAGATCGTGTGTTCGTTAACACGGTAAATCGCGTCTCGAGTCGGTTGTTTTCCACGTGGTACGAGAGTCGGGATTTACCAACGCCTTCACACATGCTACTCTGCGAAACGCGTTTCAGTGATATGCGCTTCGAGTAAAACTGTCGGGATGTTCAATAGACCATTCCTGAGTTTCAAAGGCGCTCTCAGGATAGAGTTTTTCATGTGGAATTCAATCCTAGGGGCGCTCTTGAAACTCAGGTGAGGTCTACTGAACACCCCGTGTATTCTCAGCACCATCGTCAGTCTACTTCAAAATCGATCATAATTGCGGGAACGAAGATTGAACGCCAGATCGGTTTGGGTTCCGCGTGCTCCTCTGTTGGTCAGCGTCTGCAGAGCACACTATGTTGGGGCGTCTGATCTCTAGTCTCCTAGGGTGTCTGCACTCCCAAGCCCGGTGAGGATCATGTCACAGAGATCTCACATCTTCGTAAGTTGCCTTCTACTCCTACTATATCCAGCAACCACGTCGTATCCTTTATATAGACACCAATGGACTGGATGTTCTATTATTTCCCCAACTACTCTAGGGACAAGGTCGCTCTAATGTCCAGGTGAATTCTTCTTGATGTCAACGGGAAATTCTCATCATACCACAGTGACCAGCTTGCATGATGGAGATGCACCCTTCAGACAAATTAAGATCCATTTCGTGATCGGCTTCGCATTGGTGTTCCTCGTGTATCATCCGCCTTATAAAGGAGCCGACTACGAGAACTTCCACAAGAGCCCATTGTGAGTGTCCGCAGTCATATCTCTCATTGAGTCGAGCTGCTATTGCCCTTATTACTTCATGCACTGTCATTAACTAGTGCACATGACTGATATCCTCATCGATGACGAGTTAGCGCATTCCCCCGTAGGTATTGGTACAAGTACAACTAGTTGGAACGAAGTGGTCAGCTTCAGGAGAACTTGCGTGTCAAGAGGGACTGGTTCTATGACGAGGATCCGAATGCTTCTTAAGAGGATCTGGTGTCGTGTCTAAGACTTGATTATTATAACGTTACAGTAGTCACTAGCAGCCTCTACACTATTGCTCGCTATTAGGGGTTCCATGGGTGGTGATAATAATTTGTGGAGCGGAAACGACAAGCATTGGCCTTTTATTGTCCAGTTGTCGTTGCGTTGAGTCGAAGGTTTGGAAAACCGCCAGCTTGCGTCAGATAGTAGTGTTGAAACTTCATTCGCCCAAACTCTGCGGAGTGCTTGTTTCCAGATCTTAGATTAACAGTACTGCGTTGTGGTACGTCAGGTGGAGAGGCTTCTAGACGATCCGACTGTGCAACGCTACTCGTCTAGTTGACAATATTGACAGTACGAAGTTTATACTACATACCCTGGTCATCGAACTTACACTCGATTCCCCAGTCAAGTGTGTGGAAACTGGGTTTTCGAGCAAAGGAGGAAAACCTAATTTTGGGCGTGCGCTAATTACGACAGTGCGCTGTGATCGCAGGTGTTAAGGAAAGAACTCCGAAAAAGTGTGTAGAACTGCGAAATCAAGCAGTAGACCATTGACGCAGCATCACACACAAAAGTCGTTGACCATTCGGTGATGACTGCACAAAGCATGGTCACAGCCGTGGGACTGACTTGCCTTCTGCAGCAACTACCTCCTACAGCAAATGCGTATCACTCTCGGCCTAGTCGTCACCGCTACTTGTTTTTCTCTGAACCCGTTTTCAGTGAGACCAAGCATTCCTTAGATGATGAGTATGACTTGCTTGTTCAAACAGTTAAAGTATCATTTTGCACTCTCAGGTATCAAGCGCTCCTCGAATCCCTCGATACTATTCGCACAGAGCCAGACGATGTTGCTAAGAAATTCGGCATCGATATTCCGTCAACTCCTGCCCTCCGCTCTGGACCAGCTGCTATGGCTTTGGTTCAACATGGTAGACTCGAACGTTGTTTTGTGGGCCAATGCTATCCTACCAGGTAGCAAGAAGATCAATCTCCTTGACAAGTTCTCTGCAGAAGACCGGGTAAGGGAGAGAACAGGCAACGTAGTTAGCAATATAACTCTTCAGGCTCAAGAGGCTGAGATTAAGAAGAGTACAGAAACACTGGCTGATGTCGAGAAGCACCTTGATAACAACCTGGCTATCATCGATAAAGACCTCCATTAAACACAAGTCGCATGCTGTGTTCACAGAGTGACTGTAGTGTTGTCGAAATTTCAGTGTAGTTGCGTTGTCAAGTCGTCGGTGTAAGGGAACAACGAACGCGAGTCGTGGAAGAGAGACATACTAACAATCTCGACATAAATTCAGATATAATTCTGAGACCAACTTGTCCCTATTGGATGGTGTGACCTCGATGAGGTTAATTCCTGCCAACTTCTTAGCCGCTGCTATAACACCTGAAAGGACATGACTCGCTTTGCTGATGAGCGGTCACTTACCTCCTCCTTTCTGAGCGATGGTGGCCAGGCAAGGTCGCCTCCCAGTGAGGATTCGGAGGGCTTTGGGCTCAAACTGTTCCGAACATGACTCCATCTTTCCTATTTCATCTAGGATAACAACACAGCCATCCTTTCGTTCGGCATGCATGGCGTCAAGTAACGGCAAAGCGTTTCTCTCAAAGTCATCGAGGCAAACACCATAACGACCGACTCTAGGGCCTGGGTAGCCTGAGTCAAAACACGCCATACGTAATATGCTGCATATGTTGAGATATCGCCTTACCTATTCGGGCGAGAGGAACATGAATGCCCCCATCCAGTGATATCAAGTCGAAACCATCACGAGAATGGGTCTCGGGGTTGCGGACCTCCTTCGTGATAAAGCCTTGACATGGCACCCCTGCCTTCTGCAGCTCTCCGAGAACCTACGTAGACCATGGACGAGGTCGAGGGGAGGTGGGTGGCCGCTCGGACCTTTAAGCAAAGAGTTGTTTTGCCGACTCCTGGAGCACCAGTGATGAGATATTTCATAGGTTGTAGTGAAATAAATTCAATCTTCTCACACGTAATATCCTAGCCAGTACTGATCAACACAACAACAACGATGAAGAGAAGCGAAAACATGTGATGCCACTCCTGAACGATGCTTGGACCATAAAATGGCAACTCGTGTTTTCTTCATCTACTATAAAGAAATGTACGCTCAAGGAAAATACCAAGATGCTCGATCGTGTCGCCCTTTACGTAGCGTTCCTAAGCCTGTGGATACTCTAGCTTGTTCCGGGCCTAAACGAGATAGGAGAAAATCCTCTCTGAGTTCGCAACCTTTGAGACCAATTGGGCGAGGTTATAACTTCTCTATGCTATAATACTATCATGGATATCACTAATATCAATGATAGTATTATGACATATCAGTCTATATCAATATAGACTATACAATATCACGATATACACGATATACGATATATACAATATCAATATCATATATCTATATCAGTATATATGATATTATGACGTATCATATCAGTCTTTACTTGTTCTATAGCAAAGGATTCACAATATCAGCATATAATTATCCAACCATTATAATAACATACAATTATTCAACCATTATATCAAGATGTAATTATCCAACCATAATACCAGAATATCAGTAAAAGGATCCAATCGCGAGGAACTTGCCGTCGGCGTGAGTGCTTTCCTCACAAGCTGTGTAGGAGTATCCATTCTCATCCAAGAATGAATAAGAGCGACCTGAATTGAATTTGATTGTTGAGACTTCGGAGGCAAATTCCCACGCCTCGAGTTGCCATTCTTTAAGTATTGGCCAACACGAGAGTCGTGAGTTCAGCCTCGCATACTGGTGGTTCGGCGACCTAGCAAATGCCGATATTTCGAGGAGCTGTTGTCAGTCACTTTTCCACAAATATGACATCGATCGCTCCGCTGGCACGCATAGGTGAAGCGCACAACGCCTAGTCCATGCACCCCGTTGCGGGATTGATGACGGATCATCGGCTTATAGTGTTGATAGAAGCTCTATTATTGCTAGTATCGCTATCACTAACTGATGATTAACTCCATTGATAACAACACCCTAGACTTGGCACTAGGAGACTCGACCAGAGATCACAATGCACCTCTGGATGGTGCGTTTGGCGCGCGCCCTCGCAAATGTATCCGCGTTCAACTATGGCATGCGTGCTTGCAACCATCAAGTCCTACTGGCAATCACGGACAAGAGGGGACGACTCAGTCTCTTGTATACGACAAGATTCATCCGGCTGCCAAGTGAGCGTCCTTTGTTTCGCCCTCGGATACCCGTTTCGGAGGGTAAATCGATCGATGCCCGAAGTCGCACGCGTGCCGAAAGTTTGCACGCGTGCACCTCGCAGGAGACCTCCTCCGGTGCCCGTATTACCTACCGTGGACAACGTTGTAGTTCAGCAAATCTCTCGAAGTGAGTCGTCCTCGTAACCTTCCGATCGGCGGTACAGTTTCTTACTATCTGAGACGTCAGTTTGGCCCTGTGGGGTCCTAAGGGCTGTTTTGTGAGTTAAAAAAGGGCTCAGGGAGGTGGCTAGCATCGTGTCCCGTGTAGTTGATGGGGAATTCTCTGTAGTTCCATCATATCGAGCATATTTGATGGCTCATCTCCTGCAGCAAGCTGGTCTCAATCAGGACGCTACCGACAATCAGACACAGTCTTTCCTGTTTCATGTCGAGAAACCCGAAACCATGGCGGGATATGCCACTAGCTGGAGTGAAAGTGATACGGCAACCTGTGCCAGCACATCCAGCTGGCCCGCATTGCCCACAAGTGGTCTGATGAGACGTTCGAGCTCGCCTGGTCAAGCTCGGGAGAAGTCCTCGTGCGCCAATCACGCCTTGGACTATGCATCGACTCGGGGAAGTTCGCGTTCTCCGGTAAGTCTCGTTTGTGTTGGTCCATTAGCTTTCTGAATCCTCTTGCCAGGTGTACGATCCCAGTTGCGAGTGGTCCGTTCGAGCACAGAGCGGTACGCCACGAAAGAGCATTGTAAACAGGTGAGTCTCATCGGCCCCTTGGGCTTGCGTGTCCAGTTGGAATACGCTGAAGGTTCCTTTTCCAGGGAACCTGTCGTACTCGAGAGGAGAGCGGCAGAGACTCAGGAGGACGGTGTGGTCAAGAAGAAGACTTCGGCGGAGTTGGCTGCGCTTGAGGCTTACTTGGCTAAGCAACGCGAGCACTTGGCAGCAGCGATTTGCAAGGAATGGGCCACTCCCAATTCCTCTAGTGAACGGCAGGCGCGGCTGAAGGCAGCCTGTCAAGAGCTTGTCAAGCGTAGTTTCCATGAGGTTTTTTGTGCGCGAGAGGCTGAAGGGAGTAAAGCTACGATCGGATGCATGCGTCGATCGACTGGTGGTAAGTCGTCGATGGTCATTGATGCCGTTAGTTATCATTTGAGCAGGCTCGGCGGACTTGTGATCCGCAACATCCTTCCGTCCAAAATGTTTCAAGCTATGGGTGCGAGAGCAATCAACCCAGTGAAAATATGTTACCAAGTCGATCTTCGCTCATCCTTTAAGAATATTTTGTGCCGAGTCTTCCGACTGCGGTTTGGTGAGCTCTCGTTCTAATCCTACTAAGATCTAGACTTATCCCATCTTGTTTTGGTAAGCTGCTGATTGTTCCCACTTACATCGGCTCCCTTGAGAACGGCGAGCACCTACGGGTGAGGTCACACTTGATCATGTAAGTGGACTTGACTGACTGGATTCCCGAAGCCACTATCAATGATCACCAGTCATTTTGCTGATGGGGTGCTCTCATACATTATCGTCACATATTCATTCTTACCTTCTTCGGTCTTTGATGGGACTAATGTTTTGCCATAACGGCCTCCTGTTGATGCGATAATTGCATGATTACTTCCGATCGGAGAAGCGCTCAGTTCATCCAGTGAGAGCAGATATTCGTCTTCCTGCTACTTCACTAATTTCCTTGAGTGATGTCGATTCATTTTCGGTCATCATCAAAAGATGGGGCATGTCCTGGCGTGAACTTTGTCCTATTACTTATTGCGCGATCGCTGAGTATTCTCGCAATCATTTGTTCGAGAGTACCTTCTTATCCATTATGCGAATGAAAATATTATTCTCAACCATCTCCTTGATCATATGGTTCAGCTAGGTATACTCGAGAAAAAAGTAGGGTAAATCAGCTGTTTGCATAGGAAGTTTTGAGTTCTCATCAGTGAGCTTGTGTTACTAGTCACAGTTGATTGACGAATACACATTTGGTATGGGAGTATGTGCCGAGGAGTGTCTTCATAATATGAGGTTCATGTTAATTTGTAGACGAGCAAATATTCCATGAACGGTTCGTGATACCTGTATCTATCGCCAAGCCGAATTTGTGATACAAATTTTTGTGTCGTATTCACAGCTGTTGAATGAAGGTCGGAACAAATCGGGAGAGCGACGGCGTTGCTTTCTTGAAGCAGTATTTGGGGTGGCTGCATGGAATCACACGCTGAAGGCTGTTATCTCGCTGTCAGGGTCGCCTAGTGCCCTGAAGTTTACAGTCCGGAGAGAATACTTCGAAAACAATCCTCTCTCGAACTTGATCCGTCGGAGAGAAGTGCAGCATTAAAATGCCATACACACACACCTCACACTATGAATTATGCACCACCTTGGCTTCCACTGCGTTATATCGAGAATCACTCGAGACGCGCAAAGGGACTTGATAGGACCTATCAGTTAGGTTGTTAGAGAACTTTGTGCAATACGACTGGGGAGAACGTGTCTCGCCCTCAGTTACATGCGACGTAGTTTGCTTGACTCAAGTAGCTTGAGTACGCGTCCGTTACCTGTATATAATCCCTCAGGCATTATGCCCGTATCTTCGGCCGACTGGCGACCCTCTGTGGGCCGCCCACTAAATCTCGTGACTTGCTTAAGAAAATGGCACGCTCCTTATGCAAAATTCGAGGTTGATATGCGCGTTGGTTGAAAAGTTGGAGCTGTCGCGCGAAATTGGGTCTTTAGATTGCGCGGCGCGCAATGCGCGCACTGCATCGACCCGATACTATCCAGAATGAAGCCGTTCTTATTATGTGAGCAGATGTGATCAGCGAAGTCAAATTCTCACGCAAGTATTTAAGCATTCTTGAGCTGAGAAAACTTGAAATATATAGACGACGTCTGGAGCTGGACCGAGAATCCTTCGTCTGGTTCTTTGCTTGATGTTAGATCTTCCCACCTGTCGAAGCTGTCTCTAAAACGACGGGGTTTACGAACTTTTATCCCATCGGCCGAACGCGTTCGCTGGTTATGCACGAGAGACATGGGATTGAAATCTGGAAAACCCTAGGCCTACAGTGACTGAAACGCCTACTTCTTTTACTTTACTTTACTTTACTTCTTCTGCGGCTTTTGTTCTGAGATATCCGCGTCAAAATCAGGGTTCGGAAACTCAAATCACAAGATTTGGGCGTTATCCGAAGGTCTTACTCGCAGGAAACCCAAAACCCGAGCCTCTCATGCGAGTGCAAACCCCTAGCCTAATGCGGCCTAATGGTGTCACTAAATTTAGTCGCACCAAATAGTCCGGGTGTTCAAAAAAGCCATTGTCAAACCCAGGAGTTCTCCCAGGAGAGGAATGCGTAAAAACGCGTTCAATGGACTACGATCAGGAGCGCTCCCATGATCACTCTGATGAGGATCTATATCATTTTTCTAAGGAGAGTGTAAGAATTCTAAGGAATCCTTTTCGCTCGCCCTCTGCGTTTTTCTAAGGGGGGTTCGGCAATGTCCAAAGGAGTTCCGTTTTTCCCCTAAGGAAACCCCTCAGCTCTCACACTGTCCACTCTTCGGGTTTTGGGTGATGGTCGCCCGAAGGGCGACCTGAGTCGGGTTTCGGGTTCACGGAGGTTACGCTCTTGCCTTGCGATTGGCTTTTTTTCTGAGGCCTTGGATAACAGCTCTCACCCAGATAACAGCTCTCACCCAGATAACAGCTCTCACCCGGATAACAGCTCTCACCCGGATAACAGCTCTCACCCGGATAACAGCTCTCACCCAGATAACAGCTCTCACCCGGATAACAGCTCTCACCCGGATAACAGCTCTCACCCGGATAACAGCTCTCACCCGGATAACAGCTCTCACCCGGATAACAGCTCTCACCCGGATATCAGCTCTCACCCGGATAACAGCTCTCACCCGGATCACAGCTCCCCAAGGTTCTTTTGCGGTCCGGCCTATCCCCGATAAGTGTTACACTCGCTGACTGTAACTCTACAACTTGTGATGCTCTCATACCCCCTCCCCCTCCCACTTAGCAAAAACTGGTCTAACTTTCAACGCGATTCCTCTCTTTAAGTCTGAGGCTATTGCTGCATCGTTCTACGTATGCTAAGGATGCCCGTATCCAAATAAATCGGCGAGTAAGCCGACAGTGTGTTGAAGACGGGACTTCTTTCCCGCACATTTGGTAAATTAAGCTGTTGAAAGCTATCTGTGGAGGGAGGGAAGTCATTTCCCTGGATAGAACCAGAGTCAGTCCCCACGAAGTCGTTGGTACCCATATCCTCACTATAATCCAACTCATCTAAATCATTGATATCATAAGTTATGATTCATAACCAGAATACATTAGCAAGATAAGCCAGCAGAAAAAGTACAATAACCTTCAACAGAGGTGACAAAAAATGTGACAATTATTGTCTCTGACAACGATTGAACCACTTCATTGAGTAACAACTATGAGACACCGAAGCTATGAGAAAATTACACAAAGTTCACGACTATCGAGCGATCAGTTTATCACTGTAATCAATATGATGACTCGGCCCCACATCGCATATCACACAACACATTGTGCAGATTGCATAGAGGCTTTATGGTAGAGCTAGGTTTGGATAAGCTTGCACCTCCTGTAAAAGCCGTGCCGCGCTTCCTTAGGTGTGACGCGACTATCCTTAGACTTTGCAGACCTCCTTAGAAATCTTCGCGTTATCCTTAGATTTTTCCGGCTTCCTTAGGAAATACAGACCTCCTTAGAAAACTTACACTCTCCTTAGATTTTTGCGGTTCACCCTCTGATGAGTGCTCCTCAGCATGTTCAATAAGTGCTTTTCGCTCGCCCGAGAGTGCTCTTAGGATTGCGTTTTCCAGGAGAGTTCTCATCGCTCCTGAAATCGTGCTCACGAGATTTGAGGCGCGCGCTTATTGGTTTTGGCGGAGCGTAGTGACGTTAGTTTTCCAATTCCGCGAGTTAAGGTCGGGGCCACCGATCGGGCATTACCGAAATCTAAAGTACCTCCTTAAGAACGTAGGTTAGTGAAACAAACTAACCCCCTTACTCACCGTTCTTGAAAAAATAACGTTAGATCTTAAGGTTTCTTACCTTAAGAGTGAGTCTGAGGAACTTACCGTAAACATAAACTTAGCTTTCGTAAACTTACCCCTTCTTGTTTGTTAGTGAAACGATCTAACCTTAGTTTCTTGAGTTTTTTCCCGTCTTAAGGTATGTGGTTAGTCACTAACCGCCTAATAGAGTCTCTTTCACTAACCGTTAGTGAAAGAGGCTTGTTGTTTCCAAATGTCAAAGATGCCAAGTACAAAAGTAATCGATCAAAAGTTGCGCGACGAGCGAAGCGATGCAAAGAGCTCTCTCAAGAGAGGTTTTGAAGCGCGCTTTTCAAGGCTCTGTTATTTGAACAGATTTTTTGCTGACTCCCAGGAGAGCTCCCGACATATTTCGGGAGTGCGTTAGTTGAACGTGATTTCAAGAGAACAATTCAAAAGCGCTATTCAACAGCACTCTCAGGAGCCTATTTTGTGTTGTTTCTTGAACACCCGGAGTGATTTACGACACTTATCTAGTGACATCGTCTTGACGTCCCTCAACGGTTACTTATGGGGAATCTTGCTCTCTCGCACAAGCTACGACTTGCACTCTTGCTTTTCTTCGGCGTCTCAAGTCCCAAGTGACGCGTGAGGTAACTCATTCCAACATGAACGTCTCAGAAGCACTTGAGGTGCCTTTTTTTGTCGAAATGACTAACTAAAGTATCTTTTATCGAGTTCGTGTTGGCACGATACAATTCTGAGGAGTTACGCTAAATTGGCACAAGTGACTAACAGTTATGAAGTGTAGCGTGTCGAACACTCCCCCCAAAGGCTCACTTCTCGCAAGCCCCTGGCTGTGATAGTTCTCAGTGTCCGTTCTCAGGCACATTGGGCTCCCTGTGAGACTCTGGTAAAGGTTGAAGAGGAGTTTATCATTTTACTTCATTTCAGTTGTATTTCTTCTTTCACACTCATCGTGAAAAGCTCTTAATCAAAACCATCAAAATCTCCTCAAGTGTATAATGATACTCACTCAACAACATAATCGTTTCGACCCGGAAGTCGTCTCGAGCTCTCAAATGAGCGGATCCTTCTACGGGATTCCTCCTTCTAACCAAGTGAGCCCCAAGGAAGAGGATCCGAGCAAAGTTCTGCTGGATGTAAGTTTGTTCCCTTATGATTGTATCAACAGTATATGTATTCCTTTTAGTTATTGCATTGTGGGCGTGGTAAAGCGAGCCCCAAGGCTGCAAGTGAGAGTGCTAGAACCGACAGCACTATGAGTTCAGCGTCCGATTCCGAGTAAGTCGTGAACGAGGATTTGCTCTCTCAGATTATGTCGCGTTGTAGATACTCCGAAGATGATCTTGACCGTTATTTTGAACAACAGAAGCAGATGCTTGAATTAGGGCTACAACGAGCCTTTCTTGAAGAGCATGGAGACTCTGTGGATCGCCGGGTTTTGACCCAGGCTTGCCACCAGCTAGTTGATAGGACCTTTCGAGAGGTCGAGACCGCGCGGACGGGGTTAATAAACTCACAAACGAATCGATACATGAAGAGACCAGAAGAGTAAGAGATATGAGTAAGCATTCTTGGGTCTGGCTTTCAAGTATGTCATGATGGAAGCTCAGGTGATCAGAGCCATTCCCTTATTACGAACACGTACATCATCAACGTCATGACTGCCAACAAGAAAATTACGACATTGCCGACGTATATCAACAATACCATCGATCTGGTGTATCGCTAATAGATGCCGTGATGATCATCATCATCATTATTCACATTCTTCTTTCATGTGAAACAAGTTCGTACCACATGTCATCCACATTGTACTGTTTGTTGTAGACTCGCTCCACGGATGATATTTCCCCTCGAGACTTTGCTTCACATATTCCGTTTTGTGGATGCACCGTCACTTGTCTTTACAAGGTGCCGTTGTTTTGGTGTGTTCGGTCGACGGCGAGTGATGGTATTGTTTGAGGAGGCTTTTTCTCTGCTCATCATGTAGGGTGAGCCATAGTCGCTGACACTTTGTTGTCCGTTCACAAAGACCTCTACAATGGGTACGCCTGTAACAGCATATATATATCATGTTTGCCTCGGATTTGTCACCAGAATCGGTTTAGTCCACCCGTACGATCATTGCTGATGAATATGTGATTATAGTTGCGAGTTTTGTAGCCTGCATAAGGCGCTCGAGTGTTTCATGGTTGTATGATAATCACATCACGTATATCATCCTTCTCGTATCTGCTACTTGTCGTCTCGAGCAAGGGTTCGATGTGGCGAAGGAGTGATAATATCACTATTCACTGGCTATTTTATGGGTTGTATTTGCAGCTGTATAGATCGTTGCTACTCGATATCAGATATCAATCTTGTTTGATGAGCGATCTACTGTGAGAATGATGATACTTGATTATTTGATCCGTCTGTGCATTTGTTATCGTGTCTTCGACTGCTGTGAGATCTCACTCGATTTCCTCCTTGCGGTTCGATCTACTCCCGAGATCAGCATAGGCGTCATTCCTGACCAGCTAAGACGCCCGTGTAAGTGTCGTTCATTTAGCGGAGGTCGCATGTTTGCTACTGTTAGTCATTCGGGTTTAAGTCGCAATCGTATTCTGCTTGGTATCAGAGTGATTCCTGCTTGTTGTCGATATTAGCGTAATTCTACTCGAACGTCTGGTGTTACTGATGTTCTCTACTGTTTCGGCTCTATCCAATTCTTCTTTCTCCATTTCGGCTGCAACTCGTTCTACCGGTCATTATCTCCACTTCTACGCCATTGAAGAATGGTATCTGTCTTATGTCAACTATGTTATAATCCTTAGTATATAGTCTATATGGTCAACGTTGTCACTGATGCTACTCTATTAAGTGAGGTATCACTGTAGAGCATGTTATCATCATCAGAAGAGTATGGGTCATCTTCATTACAAGGGTGTTTCGTCCTTACTGCGTTACCGCACTTTCAGCGCGGTGTTGTTGGCAGTGGTCATGAAGAACCACGTCGAGCAATAACAAAAATAACAAATGAATACGCTGACTTTCTTGAGAGGGTGTCGAATGCAGTTCTCTCACCTCTTCGTAATCGTAACATAAAACTTTCACGGTATTTCTCGTAGTAGTTATCGATGCAATTTGTGCAGCATGCTCGCGTCACTCTCTGTGATAGCAGTAGCTGCGAGTACTTTATTCAACTGTCTATTATATATGCGCCAAATAGGCGCAATTGTGTCGCCGATTTCTTCCGTAATTTGCAAGAGGAAGTGTGATGGATGGGTTGTTGCTGCTGCTGTTATACGAAAGCAGCAGCGACATGTACTGCGATCTACATAATTATCCTTAGACCATAAGAGGACGTACTCAAGTTGCGTTGCTATTACTTGTATCTACCGATGAAATACTATGTGTGTTGGAGTTGTCAATACGTACTAAGCAACTACTAGTGAGTACGTGGTGGATTTCTTCGCACAGGGTAAGACCGGCTAGAAGGATAAGAGCTTGACTAGTGTGTATATGTCTGAATTATGACGCTAATGTATCTCTTGTTCATCTCCGACTGGTAGAATAGGTTTGACTGGTAGCACGCTCCGCTTCCTCGAAGTTGGAGATCGACTCGGATGTGAGTTATCGAGTTACAGGTGTATATAGGGGAAGGTTCGATCACTGGAGACCCCAGCGAACAGGCGAGGTTTTATTGAACTTCGCATGATGTGTGTCGCCGAATGCCACTGAAGAATTGCCCCAGTATGGGATTATGTGCACATGGTCATTAACCGTTGGTCAACCACATGTGTTGGTGACAGTATGACAGTATGACCCACTATGACAGTATTTTGGGTAATTCTTGTTTCTTGTGCATTTCTACCCGGATTCAAATGCAAACTCTTGTAGTTGGTGAGAGAACTCCTGAGCTCAGCTGAGGAAGCTCAGCTCACTGAGTTGCCCATTGACGAATACCGTACCATTCAGGGATCTATTCGGCCGCCGAATTTCTGCGAACGGGGCCATGGATGAAATCCATCAAGGGATCGAAGTCCCACGATCCTGGATAACGACAGTCAATCTCAGCTCTGAGTTAATTACCGTAGTTCCATGGCTATATGCTACTTCGCACTTTGATACTGATAAAAATACAATGCTACTAGCATTATGCTAGACCTATCCGGATGTTCAGAAGCATGCCTCGTGTTTGGTCTGATACTGAAGCGATTAGTAATCGCCGATCACACTGTGTCACAGTGACTGTGATCGGCGATCACTGTGATCATCGCAGGTAACTTACCTGGTATGACAGGTCTTAAAGACCATCCTTAGTGCTCTCGATACTTATCAGCTTTTGTGATCCCACACTCGCCCGGGAAATTTCTTCTCCAGGCCCCCTCTTTCACTCGACAATTCTCCGGCCAACCGTCAGTCAGCCATCGAAGTTAGGTATCCCCATTGTGCAACTGTGTTTTCAGCCGACACCATCAACGTGTGGGAGGTTGTGGCCGTCATGACCTGTAGCCTACAAGGCTGAATCAGGCCTCTAGCCTCAGCTAAAGCTTACCGAAACATCACAATCCTACATGATGGATCAAATGATCGCGGGCGTCATGGCCAATGATGAGGTTGCTCGTCGAGCCGGTCTTGACGATGTAGCACCGCCGGCCATATCCTTACAGGATGTGGCTGACTTCTACACCTGTGGTCCGGTGAACGAAAGGAAGACTCTCGCACTGAGTCTCTCCAAAATCGTGTGCTCGAGTGGTAAAGGAAGCACGCTCCAAACTCACTCGGCCGAGCTTTCGGAAGCTTGAAACCTCTTGCTGTCGGATGAGCACCCACTCCGGTTGCGGTCTGTTCACCTCTCTCTCACTCCCAGTCTGGACAGCCCGTGATTTCGTAGTGGATTTCGACTTGAACCTCAAGTCTTTGGGGAATCACCATATATGCATGTCCTCAAGCTAAACACGCAGGCACCACTCCAACCACCCGATAATGATCTTGCTCTTTTCGATTAGAGCCTCCGATTTCGCGCGTACGACGTCACGACGTTAATGGCTCCACAAACGGACTAGGTGCTCACGAGATTAAGGAATGGGGCACTTCGGGACTCTGCGGATGGGTAGCTTATTCACATCAGTTCGCTGACTCATCCTCCGGGCAGTACTGCTAAGTCCAGATCTTGTGGTCCTCGGGTTATTGGGCCGCCCAAGTTGCGTCGTCACGAGAAATCGATCGTAAGGGCGCGCGCACTTGATATTATTATCGATCGCGCTATAAATACCTGCCGTCTAGTCTGTTGACAAGCACTTATTAATGACTGCATCAGCGAACGTACTGCGGGTCTGCGATGTGTTCGCTCTCCTGAATAGGTTTCGCTCACATGGATTGAAGATGGTAAAAGCACCCCACAACTCTTTGTGTTTTGTGGGGCCGTCAAAAGTCTCACAATTCGGACATGTTTTTTATTGGAAACCTTCACTTGAAGTCAAGTAACTCACCTAATTTTCGGCGGGTTGAATGCTCCAGTCGAACATCTTCCTACAGAGCTTCGTATACAGTGATCGCGTCACTGCTTCGCAGTTCACCGAGATTGATTCCCGTGAATGCCTCCACTCCCTATGGTCTCTCCTCTGCATCGAGGGAAACTCATTCCTAAGGTAGATCTAAGCTCGACTTCGTGTTCTTGGGAGATCTAACGTTGCTCTGTTTCGCGCACGATAGAGGACGAATTTATATTGAATCGTTGCGAGCTGATATCCTACAAATGGTTGCGCAGGTTCTGCCTGACAGCTCAAGTGGTTTAGTTCCTCCTGGGCGTAACGATGCAATTTCTACCTGTTCTGAGTGAGTACCGCGACCTCCCATTCCTCATGCTCAGCATCGACTATTGCATTACGCTAGTCAGCGTATGTCAGCTTCCTGAAACTTGTGACGCATCTGAGTACTTGAAGGTTGTTCGTTCTCAGTCGCTCTAGTAGTACCGAGTCGGACGGGTCATCTATGGATTTCTTCGACCGTCAACGTCAAGAGATAGCTAGATGGATAGCTAATTCAATCCACAATCGAGGCGCTGATCCCGAGAAGGTTCATCAGGCTTGTCAAGCTCTAGTTCAGCACACATTCAGTCAAGTTGTTGAGGCTCGCAAGAGAGGCCCCAGTCCGATCACCAATCGTACAATGTTGCGCCCTGGGGATCATGCGAGCAGCTCGAGGAACTGAATGACTGCGGTGCGTATGTGAGAGCATTCGGGTGGTGATGTATGTTATGTCCCGCAGGTATTCAATGGGCATTCATTCCCATTTCACTCTCCTCTGTCACCATCTTCTCATCTGATTACTGTCGTCACTCGTAGTTGTATTTCATTTACATTGAAGATGCATACTGAATCCGGTTCATTCTCTCTGAGTGAAGGTCTGTTATTGCTGCAAACATGGCAGCGCTGTGGTCCTGCACTTTTTCGAGTGGCTAGGTCGACCTCGACTCCACTACATAGTGGATATCGTAGGACTTTGTCAGTTGCTCTTGCATACCAGTATCATCGGTATGACCATCTGTTGTTATCATTTTGCTAGTGGTATCATCATAGAGATGGGTATTTGAATTTACTGCGAACGTGTGAAGCTATTGCTTAGAGATCAGTCGATCTTTTAGTGAGCCTGTCTCTATCGCACTTTCACTGAGGAAGTCTTCTAGTATTATATTACAAGCTGTGAAGGAGGTTCTTCGTTAAATTCTGTCTAGTAGTGACACTACTCATTATTAACGTCCCTCTATTTCCTCGTCCGCTGTAATTTCCGCTCCCTTCTTTCATGAAAATGCTCAACTTGTTACGGTGACGCGTGCTGGCCAATCCACGTTTTGTGTTTGTAACCAGTGGGATCAAGTGATTAATCTAATCCAGATTGATCTCTCGGAGTTGATACTCCCTAGAACCGATAACCTTTAATCGAGCTGTTTCCGTCGAAGGGTGAATTGCTATGATATCTACCGTACTACGTCGACAAAATTTCACTTAAGATTCACCATGACCGACACCAACTCTTACTGACTCGTTAAGGAGTACACTCACGCTTAGAGAGAGCTCCTTGATACTGCCGCCATTGGTGCGGAACCAAGCAAATTCTTGACAGGAGTGAGCTTATCATTCTGTTTAATGCCAACTTCCATGAAGGTTATTGGTGATATTTAGTTCACGGGCCTTACACGACTGACGATGCTCAGAACACCAATGAAGGCTCAGTATGTTCTACGTGAGTAGTTTTCTAGTTCACGGCGAGCAACTCGAATAAGTTCTCGTTAACGAACCGTTTCATGCTAGGCTTCTACTGTCTTTTGAAGATGATATGATTGATGATTCCCCCACTACGGAGGGCTTCCTACGACATCAGCGCAAGTACATGGAGATATGTATCTACCGCTAACTAACGGCGGAAATGGACAGTCCATTATTGACTCCGGCAGCGGCCCCGTTCAAGTTCGCATAATATGCGCCGGCTTGGTTGATTGGTCTTTTCATGAAGTACGCGAGCCCCGTCAAATGCGCTAGAGCTCCCCGACTCAGCGACCGGTGAGAAGATCAACCTAGGCGCGATTCGATTCTTATATTCAGTTCGTGTCCTCCCTAGATGCGAAGCGTTGGTATCACATCCGTTTCTCCTATGGCGCCCAGTCATAGTTGCCAACTGTGACGTATAAGTGGCGGTTCTCTTGAGGTATGAGAGAATACCTTCCGTGTTGTGAATTGATATGAAGTGAATAAAGTTGCAGGTAATTGTTTCTCCAACAGATATCATTGGACCGATGCCATTCGCAGAGATCTCCATAATCTATTCCAAACCGACCGTTAACCCGAAAACCGTGTGGCAAATCGCCACTGGCGATGTTAGGATGCTTGGACTCCTGGTCTCCCATGTAACGACCTGCGCACTCCTAGGTTGCACAAGTTAGAAAAGCGACCCTTTAGAAAGCGATGAATGCAACATGCTCAGTTGAACATGTAAAACGACCTAATACTTCGCGATCCGAGCTTACAGTGAGTGTTGAAATCTGACCAGAAGTGAGTGACCACCGATGCACCCTCCCCCAGATATAGTATCATCTAAGCTAATAATTAAACAGTGAATCTGCAAATACCGACATGTCAAGCACTCCCTATTGAAACCGTCCACCTACACCCATACCGAATCGGTATTATCAATCTGACTTGAGATTATCATCAACACAACACTCGAATGGCTCTGCACCCAATAGCCAGCAGCTGTACGAGAAACCGGAGCCTCCTTTCCAAGACATCATAACAACCACGAGAGACGGTGAAAGATGTCGGAAATGGTTTGGTATTTATCGGTTAGCCTTGGCAATGCGCTCGATCTCATCCTTCTTCTTGATGGCGAAGGAGTTGGAGGATTCCTTGGCGCAGTTCATGATCTCATCAGCCAAGCACTCGGAGACCGACTTGATGTTACGGAAGGCGGAGTTACGGGCACCGGAGGTGATGAGATAGATGGCCTGGTTGACCCTACGGAGGGGCGAGACATCGACGGCCTGACGACGGACGACACCAGCGGAACCGATACGGGTAGAGTCTTCACGGGGACCACCGTTCTTAACGGCATCAACGAGAACCTGCAAGATGATGAGAGAGACGAATGACGAATAGATTGGATTACCTGAATGGGGTTCTTGTCAGTGAGGAGGTGGATGATCTCGAAGGCGTTCTGGACGATGCGGACACCGAGTTGCTTCTTGCCGTTGTTGCGACCGTGCATCATCATGGCTGAAACAGACGACGGAGTTGACGAACGCATGGTACTACTCGGTTATTACAGTTGACGAGACGCTCGACAATAGGGCACACAGCCTTGCGGAAACGCTTCTTCTGGTAACGGCCAGCAGTGTGGGCAGTGAAGACAGAGGCAGAGCCAGTGTAGGCGATGTAGTCCTGAAAGTAAGGATCATCATCTCAACGAACGAACATTGTTTTTGCTCTACTCCAACGATTAATACACATAAGCAGAGTTAACGAGGCTCCACGTGGTAGTAAAAAATGTCGATTTTACCCCTCCCGAGTCCTACCTCCAAAGAGAGATCAGAGGTCTCAATACCCTCGTAACTCCACCTGCCGAAAAGCTTAGGCTCAGTCGCGGCCATGTTGGGTGTCTATACAGCAAGAATCCTGAGGCCTCATCGGGGCTGTCGATCGAGCTATGGGCGAGCGAGATTTACACCACCCACTTCTCTGAGTCTTTGCAGTGATTCAAGGATGTTGCTGAAGACTGAACACGGAATGGCAATGTGAAGTGATGTTTTAAACTCCTACTCAATACTAACGACCATTCTAGATTAATCGATACAGTGTTTGCTACCTATATCGTTAACACTCGACGTAGTCTTCACACCATCTTTTGACAGGAAGTATTATACTGAGAGTATCACCAGTGCGTATATAAGCATTCTCCAGATGAGGAGGTACACTGTGTTGAATACGAGTAAAATAACAGCATTTCTATGTCAATGGAGTTTCGCCCGTTTTACGTGAAGTGGCGTAATACTCGGTGAAAAACGCGATATTCGCGGTGGTATGCAGTAGTCGTGAAATATGTTTTTCACTAGTGTTTACCTCTCACGGTCGTGAGACTCCAATGTAGTGTCAATTGATTGCCACTCATACAGTGTGATGTAACCTGGGTCTTTGCTGTACCGGTGTTATAGGAGAGGACTGATACCTGGCGGATATCAGACCACTCAGGACTCGAGTTCAGAGGTTACATAATCTGCATTATCAACACCATATTAGAAGCGCTCAGTGTTATCTCGACTTTTCGCCGTCGAGATGACGCTGCCAGTGCGGTCGGTGAGGTTGGTATTGGCTT